TTTGTCATTTCTAGCCTGATTTGGATGAAATTTGCAGGAATGGTAGCTCCTTCTGAGGGCATGAAGCCTACCAAATTTCAGGGAGATAGGTGCAGGGGTTTGGGGGAAACTGCACCTCAAGCTGCAGACAAGCAAACCTTGTGACATGGGTGGGTGACGCTGTGTGCGTGTGTTAAGATGCGCCCTCACTCAACAGACACCAAGGCAGACAGCAGGGCAGTTCAAACAATGCTGTCTTTTATACAGTTTTTCTCTCTCTCCCTGAGAACACGGGGATTGGAAGGGACCTCGGGGAAGGATCACAGTCACTGGCCAGCTACACAGTCAATACGAGAGCAGTCTCCCCCCATCACACACTTTAGCTTCTGTTTCCCTGCAGGCAAGCCCAGTTTAAGCTTCAAAACTCGAAACGTTTTGAAAATTTCAAAATGTTTTGACTCGACGCATTTCATTTCAAGGCCTCGTTTCGTTTCAACACTCTCAGTTTCATTTCGATTTCGTTGTTTCGAGCTCGAAATGAGTCTAAACAAAACTGCTGGAAAAATGTCACACTGCCCTACTATTCACTGCTTGCAACACATGCCAGCTGACCTTGGGGATGACTATTTGGTCTTACTCTGCAAGAAGTGGAGCTAAAGTGCAATGATATGGCTGAAATGAAATGGGGATAAATCACTGTCATTTAGCTCCTACTGACAGTGGGACAGAGCAGACAGACAAACCTTGCAGTGGATTTAACTGACCTGCACTAAGTCACACCTTTTATAGCAGCCTAATTGTTTCATCTGTTCATGCTCCAGGGCGAGGAGGAAATGACTGAGAAAAACAATAGGAGCCAATGGAAACGGGTGTTTCTTGCAGACTTCATTTGCACTGGAGACACCTACCTGTAGCAGTGAGTTTGATGCCTTCATGAGACTGGGATTAACAGCCTGAAGCCCCTGTTTAAGCTTTCCTACCTAGGGGCACTTACACACATAGCTTTCTCTGTTCCAGTGAGCCAGAAATCCAGCGCATCAGAGCAGATTTGATTAATCAAGTCTGCAGAGCACAAGAGCTGATGCGCCTGGTGCTGCATCACATGCATTTGTATAAGTGGCAAAAGGGCATGTTAGTACACAGACAATGGTGGTGATGCACTCTTGAATTAAAACACCGTTGATGCATTTTAGTTCAAAAAAGCATGCCACTGCCCTTTTCTCAGCGCTGATGCACATTTCTCCATTTAAAATATATGCATTGGAGTACATGTGTACTGCAGCACGTGCACGTGTACAAATGCCATAGATGACTAGCTCATGCCTTTTCTTTTAGGCATGTCATAGAGCTAGTTCTCACTTTTGTATAACAGCCAGGTACTTAGAGCACTCATCCAGGGGTCAAAACCTCATCTGCCCCCTCCCAGGAAAGTGCTCTAACCCACATGGGGGGAGACATGGGTGGGGTAGGGCACCCCCACACCTCTCCTGTTGAAGCTGAGGCGCTGTACAGGAAGGAATACAAGATTCAGGGGGATTAGAAAAAGGAACCTGATTAAGCCCAGTGAAGAGAGAACTGCCCCATGGGGAAGGACAGGGGAGCTGGTTTCTGGTCCCTGCATTTTATCCAGCAACTCTTATGCACATACACGACTCTTACGCATATGCACGACAGTAAGCAAAATCCAGGACCTCTTCCCTTCTTTGGGGGAGCTAGTCTGGCTGCCTCTCACCTGCACTCCCTCTGTCCCCATGAATCCTGCTTCTGGGCCAACAGTTGCCCAGCTCCCACAGGAAGGGAGCATGCCTCCATCCCAGCCCACTCTACCGCCTGGTAGTTGGGACATTCTCCTAGGAGATGCAAGATGGCTTTGAATCCCCACAGGCTCAGAGGTGTACTAACACAGGTCTTCCCCTACCTGGGTAAGTGCTCTACATGTCAGACTATCATAGAAAAGGCCTCTCCCAAGCCCCTTCCCTGCCAACCACATTTTTAGATGAGAGAGGCTATGAGTTTTGAAGTCCCGGGTGTTACCCAGTACTGGGAGCACCCATAACACCTGTGCTGGATGCAGCTCCTCAGAGGTCAGGTGCAGCAACACTTAATTTAGGAATCCCATCCAGACACATAAGAGCTTGAATACTGTGGTGAGACCAATCAGTGGTAGCTTTAGGTCTACATGGAGCTGAACATTAGGCACCCAACTAGATTTTTCTCATGAATATTTAGGCACGAGAGGTTTGGGTCACTTGAATAATTAAGTGGGGCAGGGGTTCCGCGAACTGGCCGCAGACTACAGCATTTCAATTCTTCTCCTTAAATTTCTCTGTACCTAAATTCCCTACCTGCAAGATAGGGACAGCAGCACTTTTTGATTGCCTAGAGCAGTTCATCTCAACTAAGGTGCCAGGGCCAAGGAGATAAACCAGGCTCAGGCTTGTGCCTGCCTGGGTGATCCCCTCCTGCACATCCCCTGCATAAGGAGATAAGCCTTGTAATATATATAAAAAAGTAGATTTTGAAATGAGGTGCTGGTCAATTCACAAAAGTTATGGAGTCCATAAAGAGTACAAGAACATTGAGAACCACTGGCCTAAAACTTAGTGAGGACAATTCACTAACGGATGCGAGAGGCTTGGGCCTTACAGCAACAGGAGTCCTATATATCCCTGGAATGGTAACAGTATTATACTGTGAGGCACTAGTCAGGCTGGCTTCAGTCTAACCAAGAGCATGCACAGGAGAACTATACATGCATTTAACACTGAGCTGGCACTTAAGATAGTGCCAGCTTTGCCAGATAGTGACTGCTTCCCAGACTAAGAACATGGACTGTACAGCACCAAGCACATGGTCAGCACTTAAATCCGATGCAAAGTACATCAAAGGATCAAAAGACAAGTATTTAAACCCCCAAATACAGATTTATTGGGGAGGAAGAAGTAATGGTTTTACAAACTGAATATGAATCAACAACAGCTTTTCATTTTAAAAGTTCAGGATTGAGAGTTAAAACACTCTGCTACAGTGCTAGGAATTGAGATTCAATGCATTCCTCCTCCCTTTAGCTTGGGGCATTTCTACACTCACCAGCACTTGTGTCATACCAAAATATATGCATCTTTCATGAGAGCCATTAGGCAACACAATTTAGCCCTATTCAAGAGCTCAGTGGGACGATGCGTGTAGAAGCTTGTGTGCATAGGCAGCTGCAGGATCGGGGCTTAGATACAACTTGGTTAAGTCTACACTAAATGTGGGAACTGGGGTGACTATGATTATTACCCTTGAAAGCCACATTCAAAGACAAAGGCAAGGCATTATTTCTTCTGGTACACAGTGAAATGGGAGGTAGTCATGGAAATACAAACCGAGTCTTGATATCAAGTAAGAACTCCTATGTCAGAGTAGGTTGTGGCCCATGAAAGCTCATGCCTTTCTAAACCAGTCAGCCTCTGAGGTACCACCCAGCCCTGTCTTCAGTCTTAGAGACTAGACCACAGAAAACAGAGTTGTGGAAACTCAGTGCTGGATTAAAACCAGATTAAACAAAGACCTCCAACACACACAGCATAGGATAATCTTGCACTGGCAAAAAAAGGGATAGTAGATCATTTTTATCTCCAATTTGTTTAAACTTCTGCTGAATGTTTTGAACTCTGGATATACTATTCACACTTACCAGGCTGTACCTTTGACTGCAGTTCTTTTACAAGGCTCAGCAGGCTGTCTATATTTCTAAGACACAGGTGGATCAAACCTACTTATTCAGCTTCTAATGGGTTTTTAAAGTAAAGCTGTTTTTAAAGAAATATGGTTATATGGAGAAAACATCATCTTGGAGATCACACTGCCATAAATAAATGGACAGAGGACTTGCTTCTGTACTTTGCCTTAATCTTTACTATAGAGGCCAATCCATCCTGTTACAGTCAATACAGGCACTTGCACACATGCAGGGAGTCTGCTCTAATGCACTGAAAATCCAATGCGTCAGAGCACACGTGATTAATCAAGTCTGTTTGAGCGTGTAAATTGAAGCACGCCAGCAGCCTTACGCATCACGTGCATCAGTGGCGTCAGTGCTGAGAAAATGGCAGTGATGTACTTTGAACTAAAACACATTTATGTGCTTTAGTTCAAAGCATACTGTTGCCATTTCCTAAGCACTGATGCGCACTGCACCACTGATACACCTGCTCCATACGCAGTGCTGGGTACTTTTAATTAGCCTGGCTCGCTAATTAAAAGCACCAGGCGCTGTGTTGGAACCACGTTTACAAATGCCCTGAGATTCTCCAGGCATTAAACATCTGATTGTGGTCTGGAAACCCTAAAACAAACCTTCACAGCGTTCATTTTCCCACTGAGCTCACAGTTTTCACGCGTAACAGACAGGTATTGTCGTCACCATCAGAAATGCACCGTCTCTGAAAAATACCACACTTACTCTGACCCCAATCCAGCAAGTGCTTAAACACACGACTAAGTGCTTTGATTAAAAGAGTGGGTCTTATACGCATGGTTAATGTTACAACTTACGTTTAAAAGCTGTGTTCATTTGAGGGGGTGAAAGTGCAGCCCCACTGAAAGCAGTGGTAAAATTCCTACAGACTTTAATGGCTCTGGGATTTCGCCTGAGGTTTCTAGCAGCTGCCTTTGCTGCTGTGAGCGAGACACGCGGCCCCTGCGCATCCTGACTCGGCCTTCTCTGCCCGTTAGCAATGGGACAGCGTCTTTGGTTTCGTTTCATTTGCAACGTGCTGGAGAGTTCTTGCTAAACCCAGAGGATCATACTCAAGAGGCGCAAGGCAAAGCTGCCTTAGCTCTTCCTGATGACAAAGCAGATAAACCAAAACCCTCTACTTTACCCTGCGCCTGACTTTGGGGTCATCGGCCCCATCTGTGATAGTACCTTGACAAGACCCAATATCCTTGACTAAAGTTTCTCCTTCCCCTTACTATCAGTTCATTGGTGCAGACAGCAGTGTTCATGCATATACCTAGATTTGAAAGCACACTGAAGTCCTCTGATGGAAGTTTATTGTTATACAGACACATAAATTTACAAACTCTCTCATGCTACATGAAAATGTAAAACTGATCCAAGTTCTGGAACATGTCACCACCAAAAAAAAACTTTTCAGACCTAAAAGAAAGAAAGAAAAAAAAAAGAGGATTAAAGTAAATAAAAATGGGGCTTGACAAACATTAATTCACCATAAAGAAAGAAAGAAAAACTCATAAAAGAAAGCTCCGCATAAGGCTTCAAGCTGCAGAAAACAACATACTGAACGGAAACTATTCTCATGGTGAGGCTGGAAACAACCAAAATGTAGGTTTGTTGGCACAGGAACATACTAATAGGCATCAGTGCGGCTGTTCGACACATTTCCTATTCAAAATACAACTGTGGATTCTCGGCTGTCAACTGAGCTTGTCTGCAGCACCTCCAGCCAAAGCCCAGGGATGCCGCCGTGCAGCACGCCCTGCCCACTTGCTCCCACTCTGCATACACCAAAAGGTCTAGATCCCCCAGGGCAGGCCTGAGCACCTGCTACTGAACACAGCCTGAGAAAAGGAGCAGTTCCTGCCATGCAATCGGGCAGCCACGTGGCCTTGTCCCAGGCTCTGGGGCACGTGGAGCAGCACCGAGTGGATGGGACAGGCTCCCTCAGCTGTGCTCTCCGACTCGAAGCAGAAGCGGTGTAAGCAAGCCCTTGGAGCTCACAGCTTAAAATTAATATCTCTAGACAGCGAGTTGTCGTGAGGGCTGTATCTGCAGATTTTAAGATTTCTCTCCTAAATCGTAGACTCGTAGGGCTGGAAGGGTCCCCAAAAGTTCATCGGGTCCAGCCCCCTGCATAAGCTCAAGTGTCAGAGCCAGATTCTCTAAAGCTTTTCCTCCATAAAAGCTCAAGTGTCAGAGCCAGATCCTCAGCTGGTATCAATCTGGCACGGCTCCATCAACATCTCTTTGGGCTTCGGCCATGGACAACTACACCGTCATTTGTAGCCCTGGTCCTGCCTTAGGATCAGCACAAACACTGCTGCCCATAAAGGCCTGGGGTCTGCAAAACTGAAAAGCCAGTACAGGCTCAGGAACCCGAGGGAAATCTAGCCATAGCGAAGGCAATGGGAGTTTTCTCATTTCTTTCATCAGGGCTGAGATCACCTTCTATAGAAGGAAAGCTTAGAGTTATTTTTTTTAAATACTACTAGCCCTTAGCACTAAATAAAATATCATCAGAGGGAATTCCTGGGGTTTTTGAATTCCCAAATACAATGTTTTGTAACCAGCTGTTGGTTTCAACCACGTGCGATTGGTGGGGGTTTGACCTGATGTCAGTAAAATCATGTGGTTAAACACCAATATCCCTGGGCTCTTGTCAGAAATTGGAAGGGTTTCTTTTTCTTTCTTCTTTGTAGGCAGTGTAATGCCTTCCATATGGACCCCAGGCCCTCACAAGGTCCAATCTCTTTGGGGCCGTCTTTTAACTACAGCTTTTTACGACAAGACCAGCTTTGTTCAGCAAAATAAAATTCAGCGGTAGTCATAGGGCTTCCTCAGCAACTGCAGGCTGTGAGCAGATGGCTTGGATTAAAATAAATATTGATACACAACCAACTGCTAAGGCGATACTGTGCCCAACTCAAGTGCAGGGAGATGGGCTGCAGTGACACCTGCACATGAAGTCATCTGTTGCACAGTTGACAGATAAATTGAGGCAGTGTCAAAAAACACACTCAACTGTAAGTGTTGCTGTCAGTAGGTGACAAGTGTTCTGTCTATGCACAACAGGAGTGTGCCAAAAGGGAACATGGGTGAGTGTGAAGCCCAGGTCCCACTTCCTATAAAAGGGGCACAATTAACCTGTGAAAGTGTACACACGTGGGAGAGTGGCACATCCTCTATAGTGTGGGTGTCTGTCTGTTGGTGCAGAAGTGCTTTATAGGAGTGTATTACTTCCTTCAGGGAAATACCACTCTGTACTGGTACAGGGCATGTTACTGTTGTGTAATTGCACCCACACTGCAGGTTGCACTGGTAAAACTGTATAGGAAATTTAAAAAAAATCACAGTCCAAGCCTATAGTGTTAAACTGATGATAGTTTTGTGTGTACACCAGACTTTACAGTGCAAACTGCTACTGGGCAAAGGGACATAGAATTAAGTATAGATAAAGACTTGTATACTTCCAAACCATCAACTGGATTAAATGTTATGTATATAAATGATAATGATCTCTGGCTGCAAGTAATCAACTTCCATTAGCCATAATGTAAGTGAAGCAAACAGAGAGAAAAGACTATGTGCTGTGCCTGAAGAGATGTACCCTACAGATTACAGCACCACACAATACTTTAGCATGTGCAGTAAACTCCTTGTAATATATATATTCATGATAGCCATGCTCTCTCTCTCTCATATATATATATATATATATATATGAGAGAGCGAGATAGATAGAGATATATCAAGAGAGATATATATATATAGATATATATGAGAGAGCGAGAGAGCGAGAGCGAGAGTGCGCGCATGGCTATCATGGATGAATTCCTATTTTATAGGAATTTTTATTAACTCTGAATTATGATCCACCCAGTATTATGTACGACTGCTTCCAAGATAAGGACATGCTGCTTCTAGGGAGAGTGTTTCAAACAGTATAAAGTGACATAAGACTCATGCTTGCTAATCTATTTAAATAAATGCTTAGTTTAGCTACTATTCAAAACAGTGTTAGAGCATCTTTCACCCCAAAGTGAGACTGCTGTTTCAAAGTTCACAAGGAAATGCTACATTTGCTAACAAGCAAAAGCAGAAAATAAATAAAATGCTTATAGTAAACCATTCTGAAAAGCAATAAAGGCTTTTATTCTGGCTTCATTTCTATGCTCCCAATTCCGAGAAGTATTTAAGCATGTGCTAGCTATCAAGCTACATACCAGACAAACAAGGTTAACGCTTAAAAAAAAAAAAACCACACTTTTTCCAACAGCATTGAACTTTAAATCTGAAATATGTTGTTCTACCTGGGAAAATGCTGCATGGCTTCCCTTCCCATCACAGAATATGGATTTATGGAAAGTAATATGCTCTGTACGACCTGTATGATAACAGGGAACAGCTCTGGAAGGGAGGAAGACTTGTGATGCAAAATAAAAACAACAACAACAACAAAGGCCTGTCTTTTTTCATTACCATTCTCTTTGAAGGTTTTCAAGGCGATGATATCTCACAGCACCTTCTAGTAGGAAATCAGATGATCTCAAAATAACCCCCATGCAGTCTTAATGCTTCATGGCTTTCACTTAAGCTAAAAATAAAGATACATATGAATGATTATGAAATGATAAAACAAACACAAGAAACTGAAAATAATGCTCTCTGTTTCAAGCATCTGGACTAATGTGCGTTGTATATGAAGACACCTATTGCAGAAGGATGGACAAAAATGTATACACGTTAACTGTGCGCACATTTGAACAATGAATGACATTTAACTTAAAAATACTACAACGGAAAAAATGCCTGCATGCACAGCATTTCCATTCCCATTACTAAAACACTGGAAGATAAATTAGTTATTTAAGAAAAAGCATGTTTAACATCAATGTTTTAGGGTAGCAATATTTTACCAGTGATGTAGTCCCAATCAAGATCCCGGTGATTGCAAAACAAGTTTGGAGAGAAGCGTGTAGGGGGGGAAATCATTAGTCAGGTATTTAACATACTAAATTCACCTTTTGTGCACATACAAAAAGAACCACCTTAAAAGATTCAACTGGAGGACCTCAAAGCAAAAGCATCTTAAATTTTCATTGTCCTTGATTTCACACAAAAGACCGAGCTAAGAACACATGCGTCCATGTCAGACTGAAGTCCGCATTTTCTGCATTGAGACTACAAGAACTAATCCTATTATTTCTTTAACACTCTGAATAGGCAGCTCCCACATACTCCTTCCTATTGTAAATTTAACCCATGAGCTAATTCACTTACCCAACTCTCAAGCTGCTTTCTCTACAAATTGGGATTTAAAGGAATACAATTTTTTCTATTCACTTAGATATTTAAGAGACATAAATCCTTCAAAAATTAAACAGAAGTTTGAAGACCTTTCAGTAATAATAAAAGAAAGAAAAAAAACCCACTCTCACTCCAAGGTAATAAGAAAAAAAAAAAAATCCAAAACCAAGTTTGGCATGGGGAATATAAACAGTGTACCAGGTTCCCAGCTTAGACCCATCTCACAAGCAACATTGCAGCAAACTTTCTTAAAATAAGAATCCGAGTTGCAGAAAGAAATTGTTGAAGATGACTTTGACAATGACTTAACTAGAATTCACCATTCACCGCAAGGTGGCAAAGGCAAGCAGTCAGGTGGTGGCCCTAGATTTTAGGAGGGCGAACTTCAACGAGCTAAGGAGGATAGTTGGAGAAGCGCTGAAGACTCAGAGGGGAGGGGAGCCGGGTGTCCAAGGGGAGTGGTCGCTCCTTAAGGAGATGATCCTCCAAGCCCAGAGGAAGGTAATCCCCAGGAGGGTCAAAGGG